GTCCTCTGAGAAAGGAGCTTTGGGGGATAGAAGGTTCATGTCTCTGAAACAGGAAGTTTGGGAGACATGGGGTCCATGTCCTGCTAGGCAGGGTGTTTGGGGGACCTGAGACTTGTGTCCCTAAAGCAAAAGGCCTAATGGAAAGGGGGCTCCTGTTTCTTAAGACAGGAAGTTTGGGAACATGGGGTTGATTCTCCTGACACAAAAAGTCTGGGGAGATGCAGAACTCAGGAGTCTCTAAGTGGGAAGGTGGAATGGATGTGGTGGTGGGGGAAGTCCTTTTTGACTGATTGAGGGAGTGGGACAGGGTCTAGAAAGCTTCTAATGGGGGTGAGATGCTGCGGACATAGAGAGGGGCTGGAACTCCCTGTAGTCTGGGGGGGTGGGGAGGATAGCACCTTAGGGAGGAAGAAATCCCGAAACTTGGTGTCCTTGTTGACCCTGCGGGCCAAGCCCATGGGGATCACGTCTCCAAATCTTTGGATCTCGTGGATCACTGCCTCCATGTAGGGCATCTTGACCCGGTCCTCAAACTTGGGCTGCCGGTTCTTGCCGATCACTCTGTCAATCTCCTCATGGACCTTGGCTTGGGGAGGAGGGGGAATGTGTTTAGGTATCTAGGGGTCTCAGGGCAGGGATGATAGTCTGAATAGGTGAAATGGGGTGGATGACATGTCTCCCCATATGATACAGAGGTAGATCATTCATAACAGACCTCAGCCATTCTCATTGTTGGAGTAGAATCCTGTTAACCAGACTGTGCCAGAATCACAGGGGAGGCACAGAGAGGAACTCAGGGGATGATCCGGAGGAGTGGGTAGCGAGGCACTCAGTGGGCTTGGGACAGGAGTGACTGACCAATCACTGCAGACATTTTCAATATTTTATGAACTAGTGAGACTCAGCTGATGCCTGTCAGCTGAATATTGTCCTGTCTGTGGACAGCAAAGCATGTCCCACCTGGGATCTGGGACAGGTGGGGACATTGCACCAGGGTCAGTGGAGTTTTGAGGGTCTGGGGCTCTCTACTTCCCTCCCCCTCCAGCCTTACCCTCCACCTCTGGGTGCTTCATGAGCAGCAGGAAGCCATAGCGCAGGGTGGTGCTGACGGTCTCGGTGCCCGCAATGAAGAGGTTCAGCGTGGTCATCATCAGGTTTTTCAAGTAGAACTCCGTGTTGGGGTTCTTCTCCTCCTGCAGGGAGAGGGGGCTTTAGGCCAACCTCACTCCTCTTGCCCTCAGGGCCCTTCTAGGGCTTTTCCTTTGGATCTACCTCTCTTTGGTCCGGACCAAAAATGGAAAGAGGGACCCTAGATCTACCAGACTCGCTCCAGGTTCCAGCCCTTGCCCTGGCTGCTGGCTTTGCCCAAAATGCTCTTCCTTCTCACCTTCTTTACCTTGCTGACCATCTGTCCTTTAATTATCAACTTAGCTGTCATTTTTTTTTTTCTTATACTGACTTGGTGTTGCTAAGTTGCACAGTCCGGACTCGAACTCCTGGGCTCAAGGAATCCTCCAGGCTCAGCCTCCTGAGTAGCTGGAACTGCACATGCACATGGCCATGCAGGCTCATTTGTTACTTTTAAAAGAATTAATTTTTTTTGAGACAGGGTCTCATTCTGTCACCCAGGCTGGAGTGCAGTGCCGTGATCTTGGCTCATTGCAACCTCTGCCCCACTGGGTGCTACCATGCACAGCTAATTTTTGGATTTTTAGTAGAGAGGGGGTTTCACCGTGTTGGCCAAGCTGGTCTCGATTTCCTGACCTCAGGTGATCCACCTGCCTCGGCCTCCCAAAGTGCTGGGATTACAGGTGTAAGGCACCGCGCCTGGCCAATTGTGAGGATTATTATGATGAGGGCTAATTTGAATGGGCCTGTGTTTTCTGCCCACCCCACTCCCAGTCTGATTTCCCCCTGCCTGGCTTTGCACCTCCCCGCACTGGCTGCTGGGGTGTACCTCCTGCATGCGGATGAGAAAGGAGTCGATGAAGTCCCGTGGGGAATTGGGATCCAGCGTGCGCTGGTTGTGCTCCACCTTCTTGGCTATGAAGTCCTCCAGCCCTTGCAGCTCCTTAAAGGCCTGTTGCTGTGGTCCTGGCAGGTGTTTCATCACTGAAGAGAACATCTCATGGAGCTGGGGTTGCAGAGAGAGGATGGGAGGAAAGGACAGTTGTCAGGGGCCAGGAGCTGATGGGAATGGGACTTGTTTCATAGCAAGGAAGGAACTGAGTTAACGGCATCTGTCCAGGTGTTTAGGTATTTCAGTGGGGTTGGATGGGAACTTATATCTCAGTTTTCATGTGGATTAGGTGCCAGGGCCACGGTCTAGTAATTTAGGTGAGAAGAACTGAGGCATATATCTAGGTTTCAGGTATTTAAATGAGGCTGGATTGGAGCACGCATCTAGGTGTTCAGATATTCAAGTGGAATTGAGTTGGAAGACACCTCTTCAAGTGTTTAGTTACTCAGGTGGGGCTGGTATGAGGGGAGTGTCATCTGTCTAGGTATTTAGGCATTCAAGTGGGCTTGGTTGGAGACAACTACCCAGATATTTATTGGGTCTGGATTGGGGGCTTTTGTTCAGGTGTTCAGGTATTAAAGCGGTGCTGGTGAAGATGTTAAATGGAGGGGATACCTGTTCAGGTGTTTACCTATCCAAGTGGGATGCATTGGGGGCACCTCTGTAGGATGTGTGATTGGAAAGTGTTGGGGAACACTTATTTGGGTGTCTGGGGAATAATCTGTCTAGATATTTATGTATTTAGGGTGTTGGTTAGGGCAGCTGTTGATGTTTTCAGGTATTTAAGTGGGTGAAGTAGAGAGTGCTTGGCCAGATATTCCAGTGGGCTAATTTGGGACATTTGTGTAGATGTGAAATGATTATGATGGGCTGGATTTTGCAGCACCAGGTGTTCAGGTATGCAGGAGGCGGGTTGAGGCAGTCACTTGTCCAGGTGATAAAATATTCAGAAGAACAGGGTAGGGAGCCCCTGTTACAAATTATGGTTAAGTTGGGGATGGGAACACGTGCCCAGGTGAGAGAGCTGAGTTGAGGGTTTGCATCCTGCCGGCAGGCTCTGTTCTGGGGAGCATCTGTTGAGCTTTTCAGGTGTCCTTGGAAACTGGGTATTGGGCACCCATCCTGGGTTCTGTTGCAACTGCCCAGTTGTCCAATATTGGGGGCTGATTTTGAGGGGACACTGTCTGGAGGGGGATGGGAGTTTGGGCCACCTGTCTCCAGGTAGGGGAGCAGCTGACTGGTTGCGGTAGGGGCGTCAGGGGCCGGTCTGCAGCCGGTTACCTGCCCCGTGGAGGTTGACGTGAACTGGAAGATTGCCAGCATCATGCCCAGCAGTGACAGGAACTCTTTGTCCTCGTAGTCAAAGCGGTCCCCAAAGACAATGGAGCTGATGACATTAGAGACGGTGCGACTCAGGAAGAAGGTGGGATCGATATTGGCGCCTGCAGATGTGGCCGGAGAAGAGGGTCAGGGAGAGAGTCAACTCAGAGGCCTGGGGAGAGTCAGAATTCCGGGAGGCAGGGCCCTGTTGAGCCAAATTCCCAGCGCCAGACTCCAGGGCTGGAAGTGCGGGGGCCTTTCCCCACCTAGTCCCCATCCTCAGGCAGAACGCGCGCGCGGGGGTCCCTAGCCCTGGGCGTTTTCCTGCTCTTGCCCCCGCACTCGGGGTCCCCTGCTCACCGTGCGTGTCCCGGAGGGCCACGGTGAGGAAGCCCGCCTCCTCCTGGATGCGCTCCTCGATGCCGCGCTTGCCCACCCCGAAGTCCCGCAGGGTGGCGATGGCGAAGCGCCGGAGCTGCTTGGCGCGCTCCCCGTTGCTGAAAACCACGCCTGGGGAGGTGAACGTGGGGGTGGAGAGAGGTCAGGGGGCGGTGAGGGCAGGAGCAGACCAGCTTCAGGGGTCTCCCCAAGGGTGGAGCAGAGAGGGAGTGGGGTGGGAGAGAGATGGATTCAGCGCGAGTGCCCAAGAGAGCTGCAAACTCAGTCAGAGAAACAGAGAGAGAGAGAGACACTGACTGGGTAGAAAGAATAAGAGAATCAGAAGAGAAGCAGAAAGTTGAGACAGACAGATGCCCAGAGAAACAGAGGATTAGGGGGACACTCCATGGAGGAAGGGAAGGAAGTGGGGAGAGAAAAAGAGAGATGGAGGAAGAGGATGGAGGGAGGGGAAGTGAGATATGGGGAGATCTGGGAGGAGGAAATAAAAATGGTGAAAGATTCTTAAGCTGAGCTGAAGGAGAGAAAAAAATACGGAGACAGAAACAGAGAGGATCTGGAAGGAAGAGAAACTGTTACCAGGAGATGGAGGCTGGAGATGTGGAAGTTTGAATACCATGAAATCCTAAGCCAGAGGAAGAAGTGGGAGAGGGAAGCGGAGAGAGGAGAAACACCGAGAAGCACAGAAGCTGAGAGTGACAAAAAGACAAATGAAGGCAGAGGACCAGGGTTGGAAAACAGAAACCCGGGATGTCCTCAGAGATGAAGAGAGGGGAAATAGGAGACTCCAGTGAGAGAGAACAAGGAGATGGAGGCAGAAAGAGGCAGGGAGGAATCAGGACGGGGACGCTGGAGACAGCTGAGGGATACACATGGAGAGGCCACAATGAAGGGAGATGGAGAGATAAAACCAGACCAGGGTCTCTGCCATAGCCTCCAGTGGATAGGAGAGTCAGGGAGAAGGCTGGGGACACTGAGACCATTGTGTTCTCTTGGCCACCTTCCCCCTCTTGGGCACCCCCTCACCATAGCCTTTGAAGACCCAGTTGAAGGTGGCCTGCTCGCCTCGCCCGCTGAACTCCTCAGCCTGGTCCACCAGAGCCTCCTTGACGGCATCATGTCCGCACAGTACCACGACCCGCCGGGGCCCCAGGTGAAGGGTGAACACCGGGCCATAGCGCTCACTGATCTGATGGAGGCGGGTGGGAGAGGTTAGAGGGAGCAGCCCCCACTCTGAATGGGCCCAGCACGGAGATGTCAAGTACTGGGATCCTTCGTCCCCAGGTTCTCACAGTCAGGGAGCTGGACATCCCAAGATCCTGTCTTTCCTGGCTAGGACCCTGATGATGAATCTCCAAAACTCCCTTTCCTGAGACTCTGGTCCACAGTGGTCAATCCCCGCCACAAAGCCCCAGCCAGCTGGGCAGCCCCCACCCTGTGCCACCCATCTCCCTGCCTTGGGACACCTTCATGATGGAGTTGTACATCTGCTCTGTGTTCAGCTGCAGGTAGTTTCCAATGAAGGGCAATGGGGTGGGTCCTGGAGGCAGCTTTCCCTTGCTCTTCCTCTGCTGCCAGACAGACATCAAGACTATCACAGTCAGGCAGGCCAGCAAGGCCACCAGGAGCAGCCCTGAGGCCAGCATGGTGGCAGTGGGATGATCGATGGTGACGGCTGGGGTGGTTTGCCTTTATACTGTCTGAAAAAGAGGGGTGGACTTTGGCTGATTACACAATCACCTCATTTCACCTCCCCACTACACCCCCCACCATGAATCCCGCCTAGCTTGGGACGCAGCCAATAAGGGAGGAGGAGGGGGACCACAGGGCAGTTGAACAGAGAGGGGGCCTCCAGACTCAATCTGTGGTACTTCGGGAAGGGTGCCCTAGGGCTGTGGATTTAGGAGGGGGCAACAGATAAACTGTAGAACTGAGGAGTTTGGAATATTTGCACAGGGGAGCACTTGGGCTTTGGATTTGGGTTCTGAGAGTGAGAATACACCTCAAAGTTGTGGATTTGGGGGTTCCAGGGGAGAGAAATCCAAAGGTCTGTGTTTTATTGGGGTGAGACAAAAGTGTGGCTGTGCATTGGTGGTCTTCTGGTGAGGAGGATGCAGGGTTAAGGGTCTCAGGAAAGGGGATTCCAGACATATGGACTTGAGAGACTTTGGGCTAGGAAGACCCAGGGTGTGGGTGTGGAGTTTCTGGGAGGAGGAGTGTGTAGCAAGCCCAGCAGCTCTTCCCAGAAAGCCCAGGAGCTCCTCCCAGAAAGCCCAGGGGCTGACGATTTTGCTTTGGTCCAGAGCTGTCTCTTGATGCACAGAATCCTCACTGGAACCTCAGAGTGAGGCCAGGATGGGTGCCATAGAACCTCCACTGCCCATCTCTGGTTGGGAAAGGGGTGGAAGACCGGATCCGTATTTCAGGGGAACTTTCCCCACACTTGGAGGAGAGTGCCTCGAGTTATCATTTGGCAGAGGGATTGGCCAGGTGTGGAGAAATAGTAATAACAACCCCCAAATGGTGGAAAAAACTCATGTGTCCCAAGGGTTGTAATTTACAAAGACCTCCACTGGTTTCCAACCCAGATCCTTAGGAAAACCCACTAGATTGATTGTATGATTCCTATGAATATTATTATTGTTATTTATGTTTCTCATTTTATATAAGGGTCTACAGAGGACAGAAAACAGACCGTGGGCAGGGGACGTGCGTGAGTGGCCCTGAACTCCCATCTCTCCTCCTCTGCGTCCTTAGTTCCACTTTGTGGATTTGATTTTCCTGCCAGTGGAAAGAGTGTATTTAGGAAGAGAAGATCATATTTGAGGGTGAGTTAAATCTCCTTTAAGGGTGATTCCTGCTTTGTCAGGGGTTACTACTATTAGCAGGCAGAGGGAACAATAAGAGAAGAGATTGGGGTAAACTCCAGTGTTAGGCACAGAGGCAGAGCCTGGGGTGGGTGGGAGTGGAGAAGGGATGAGTAGCCTCCTGTCCTTCCCTCAGGGAAATTTTTCCTTGGTAAACAGGACAGTTACCCTTTGGTGAGCACGGTCGCATATGGGAAGATCAAGTCTAGGTGTGTATGACCTGGTTGAATCTTTGTAACAATGAGGTTGGTTCATCATCATCCTCATTTTGAAGATGAGCAGATCTGGACTCCATAAATCCTCTTGAGTGAGGTCACACAGGGAGTAAGTGAGGGAGCTGGGATGTGAACTCTCTCCTCGTCCGCCTTCATTGACTGGCCTAGATCACCCTGGGAGTCAAGTGCTGGGCAGGCTTAGCAGGAGGTGGGTGCTGAGACTGGCATCAGCAGTGGACACAGGGATGACACTGGCGGGTTCTGATATCAGCCTCAGGTACGGCCAGGGAGGGGAGGCATCGTGTTGGCTTTGGGACTGCCCCCAGGTGTACTCGAGGATGGGAAAGAAGTTGGCACTGAACTTGACACTAGGAGAATATTAAAGTGATGTTTGGTGCCAAGAGGGCTCTGTGTGTTGTCTCAAGTGTCATTGAGGGCATAAGAGTGTCCTGCTTCAGGAAGGTATAAGAGTGGCACCATATAGGATGTGAGGTTGGTTCCATTGGGCTCTGACTTGAGCATGAGGCAGGTGCTGAGATTGGTCCTATGTGGGCCTGAGATGAGCCTCAGCCAGATCCTGAGAGGGGCTCCAGATGGCCACAGGACAGGCTCTGATGTTTGGACCCTTGAGGGTTGCACCTGTCCTCAGGGTCACCAACTTTGGACAAGGGGAGGTGGGTGAGGTTGGCACCCCCAGGACTGACATCTTCCTGAAAGTGTTCTGGGATGCTGAGCTCTGAGACCTGTGTGGAGGGAGCAAAGGTCAGAGAACAAGGTGAAGAGAGAAAAGTTGTTTGTTGATTTTGGAGGGCAAGAGGTGGGAAGGAGGATTAACACCAGCTGGGCAGATATCAATCCCTCTAATCCTGGTCACCAGCCTGCACTTGGGCCTGGCCCCTCCTTTTCCTTCTTGTTTCTTAAAAAGGTGGGAGACAGACATTTGGGGAGTTTGTTTCTCAGTGATGTTGGCACAGGGAAGGGCACTGAGTGGTCAGCAGGCTGCCATGACCTGGCCACGGAGGGGTGGGGGTAGACAGGCTGGGGGAACTCCAGTATTTGTGCACATAGAGGTCAATCGATGTTGGACTTGTTGATTACCCTGGAGCATAGAGTGAGAGAATGGTGTCTGAAATCGTGTGGGGTGGACTTGTCCTAGTGTGCAGTGTCTTGGGTACAGGCTTTCAGAGTGAGTTAGTGACGAACCCAGGAAGATCCCTTTTCTTTGCTGGGCCTCAGTTTTCCTTTTTGGACGGATGGTACAATGATTTAGGCCTGGATTGGAATCCTAACCTTATCCTTTATTTTTTGTGTGGCCTTGAACAGCTGACTTCATTTCTCTGAGCCTTATGGAGCCAAGAACAACTCCTACCTCTTTGGCTATTTAGGGGAGAAGTATATGTGTTAATGCAGATGAGGTACATGGCAGTAAGTGCTCAATGAATAGTAGTTGTTCTCGTTAATCTGTAGGATGAAATGGATGGATGAGATGTTCCCTAAGCACCTTCCCTGCTTTTACATTCTCTAGTCTAAAGCTCCCAAATCTTTTCCTTTGGGAAGGAGGGAAGGGACAGAGTCTTTCGGAACCTCTTTCCCCATCCCTTCCTCAGCACAGCCAAGATTTACCCCATGGAGCTGTGAATAGGAAATTAATCCTTCATGGCCTCCTGGAGCGTGGTGCTGAGTTCGGCAGTATCTGCAGAAGGACAGGCCAGCATTAGACTCTCAGGTTATTCTGGTTGGCCCTGGAGCCCTGCACAGGACTTTGCCCACCTGTCTGTCTTGGATCCTGTCTTTCTATTTTTCTCTTTCTCCTTTGCCATGTTTTCCTCATTTATACAACTGTCTGTGTGTCATTCTGGGTGCATGCTTGTAGTGTCTATGTGCATGTATGTTTCAGTATGTCCCTGTTGATACATGAATTTATGTGTGCACTAGGCTTTGTGGGGTGTATGTTTGTGTTTGATAATGGGTATCCATTCCAACTTATGTCTACACATGCACATGTGTGTGTGTGCCTGACGGGGTGTGCAACTGTTTCTCAATGCTTGCCAATTTTTGTGTGTGTCTCTGCATACAGCATGTGTGTACACATGATTTAGGGGTGTCTACGATGTGCATTTCTGTGTAAAACAAAATGTATGCTGCATATTCATATTTGTGTGTACACATTCACAACACATTCACATATAAGTATGTGGATGTTTTCATGTGTGCATTCAGGTGTCTGTATGCAGGCTTGTGGGCCATGTTGTATACATGTGAACATCTGATATTTTCCTGTGCTCGTCTGTGTTTGGATTAAAACAGTCCTAGCCCAGCTCCATTTATCTGCTTGAAGAAAACCCCAGAACTGTAGGAATCTTTTTATGAGCATAATCTTAATTAAACTCATTGCCAAGACCGTGAGGTTGGCTTTATCATCTCCATTTTGCAAATGAGTTAGGCAAGGACCCAAAAGTCAGTTGTAAGTGACTTGGTTCTGCATTTCACAGCTAATGAGGATAGAGTCTTAGTATGGTCTTGTGTGACGGTATATATATGTATATGTACACACACATCTATATATATACACACATACACATATATATGCATATACATATATATACACATATACGTATATATATACATAAACACACACATACGCACACACACATATATATATTTTGAGATGGAGTTTTGCTCTTTTGCTTTTGTTGCCCAGGCTGGAGTGCAATGGTGCGACCTTGGCTCACTGCAACCTCTGCCTCCTGGGTTCAGGTGATTCTGCAGCCTCAGCCTCCTGAGTAGCTGGGATTACCACCACCATGCACAGCTAATTTTTGTGTTTTTAGTAGACATGGGGTTTCACCATGTTTGTCAGGCTGATTTCAAACTCCTGACCTCAGGTGATCCGCCCACCTTGGCCTCCCAACGTGCTGGGATTATAGGTGTGAGCTACCACGCCTGGCTGTGAATGTAAATTTCGTGCTGTTAACCACCACTTGGACTGCCAGGTCCCGCTTGTTTTTCTTTATGAAACATTAGAAAAACTGCTTGTAATCTCTTGTGTTTCTTCAAATACTTCTGTGTAAACATGTAACAAAAGGTTTCAAAATGTTAGAAGAAAGTCTTTTAATAGGAGGGAGACTTGACCTTCTGTAGTGTTTGTACTCTTTGGAACCTTAATCAAAGACGTAGCTGGCCAGTGTACCCCTCAGGCCATTGGCAATGAAGCAGTGGGGGAGTTGGGGTACCAGTGGTTGTGGTCAGAGAATGAAATGTCTGTGTTT